AATAAGTTTAAAAAGATTTTTTCGTTGACGAAAGTTAAAGCATTTGATTTATATTGTTTTAGATATCATAAGTGGGAAAATGTGGCGAAAACATTCTCAGCACAAACAATGTGACCACACAGCGGGTGTTCAGCTTTTTTATATTAGAAATTATATAGCCTGCAATATTATAAAGACAATCCATTTCTAAATTGCTTAACTTGGAAGGATTTTTGTCCTAATCTTTTGGTAAGACAATCTGTTTTTTTTTTTTTTGTGTGTGTGTGTCAGTAGATTTTTTTCCATTTTCTTTATTTACTACGGATGAGGAAAACAATTCCAAAAATCCTGGAACCAACTCTCGATCATCATTCTTGTAACTGCAAGAACAATTTTTGAAATAGTGGGAAATGCAAATTAACTTAAGGTTATTTTTGAACTGCAAAGCAGTTGATATAACTTGTTTTGATCTTAGGCTAAAGAAATTTTCGACATAATCTGGTGTGAATCGAGAAGTTAAAATATATTTAACATTAATTTCACCAAGAAGAACTGATTGTAATTGCAGCATCAACATAGTTGATATAATAACATCAGTCTATACAGGTTTCCAAATTATTTTATTTTGATGGTTTACAATTTTTAGGTTTTTGAATAAATTTATGGTCTTGGCTAAAAAAGTTATCGTTTCAAAATATGATTGTTTATTAAAGTTACTAATGGCAATAATGGGATATCTGGATGTCATTAAAGTAAACCATCCATGTACGTGCTGCAAAAACCATGCAGTAGTTTTTAAAGTTTTTTCTTTTTCTTCCTCAGCTATAAATTTCAATGCACAGCTTACTTTGTGTGAAATGACAGCTGTTGCATTTGAAACTTTCATTTTCTGAAAATGATTGTTTTCTAAGTGCCCTAAAGTTAATTTTGGTGCTAATTTCAACTCAGCATTCTCTTGGTGGTAAAGAACTTTACCCAAATGCTTTGATTGTATCTTAGAAGATGACAAATCATACTTGTCTAAATAATATTGAGGTAGAAGGAAATACTTATTTGCTAGGCGGCACGAGTTGATGCTTTTTATAAGGTGAGGCACATCACCCATAAAAGTGAACATCTTTGTTGAATCACAAGGATGGGGCATGGATGACTTATTCACACCGTTTCAGCTACACTTTATGCCAAAGTCTTTCCAGTTGGCTCTATTTGAGGACCCCATGTCCGTTGTAACGTTAACAACAGAGATACCTATCTTATGACATTCTTGTATGATTTCTATGATAATGTTTTTAAATTCAATACCAAACCCTCTGCCATTGCTAAAATAATAAGCAATTATTTGCTTCCAGCGTGTGCTTATACCTCCTAGCATAAAAACCAAAGCATTTTTGGCTTTTCCTTTTTGAGAGGGGTATGTCACATCCCCAAACTATGTTCCCGAAGAAGGGTCATACTCAATGCTAGGAGTAATAGCCATCTCATCAATAGCTAAATTACTCAGCTTTTCCTGGCTATACTTAAAGTTTTTCACTTTTACATCCAAGAGCTGCAATACTTCTTACAAAATTTCAGAAGAAAATTTTATGTTTTCAATCCTCTTTTGGAACGTACGCTTTGATGGATAGGGAAGATTATTCGCCAACAAAGCATTATAGCCATTAACTCCACAAGAAAATTTTAAGCATGCAGTTTGAATGGTTGCATTAGACCATTTTGTTACTTTTGATTGACCGAGAGCTTCTATTTGGTCTGCATTAAAAACTTTTTCCAGGGGCTGGAAGTTTTGCTTTAGTTTTGTTTTTAGTTTAAATAGCTCTAAGGATTTTTTTTTAGTCTAGCTTTTAAGAGTAAATTTACAACCTTCAATTTTTTATTTCCGTATTGAGACTTACAGGGGTGATTGTGAGCCCAAGTCAAAATTCCGGAGAATTTCTTGAGTAAAAAACAAAGTTTAAATTGAAAAATTAGAAATTTTTTTTCTTTTTTCTCAATATTTCTTAGTTTACCTAAAATATATTTAAAATTTTACACATACCTATACCATTTACACATACCTATGATGACCTGGAGAAGAAATTAAAATTTACAAGTATGTCTTTCTTTCTTGAGTTTATGATTATAATAACTATTTACTGATAAAAAATGAATATTAATCATGAAGTATCTGGCTGGCTCATTAAGTATCTGGCTCTCCCTTACAAACAAATAAAATAAAGTGTGTTATTAAGTTCCACATTTGAAAATTTGATTTCCAGAAACTTCTGTGATCAATGATTTTTTGAAACGTCTGGACTTCGATCTCCGGAAACTTCCGGATCACTGTTAGCGAAAAAATCCAGAAATCCGGATTTTCTCCAGAGCACAATCAGCTCTGGACTTATGCAGCTCGGTTTTCAGCTCATTTATAGTGTCATTCGATGAAACAACAGTTTCTGTAAAAATTTGAGGGAGAGGTCTTGCAATAGGAAGCTTCCTCTTCACATGCAGAGGAAAATAACTGAAAAGTGTCGGAGCAGCATTCCTTTTCAGCTTTCTTTCGCCATTTTTTGTTTCTACCGGTTATCATCAAAATGAATCTAAAATACAAAAAAAAACTTTTTGAGCATTTTACACTAAAAATGAAAAAGAACACTTGTGGTAGGACAGTTATTGGTAAATTGGCATTTACCTATTAACTTCAAAGTCTTATTATAATTCTCTTTAATTTTATAGTGTATAATCATAATTCATCTAAAATATAGTTCTGGTATAAATATAAATATTTCAGATCCTTACATATTTACCATATATTATACAACACAACGGAAAATATTCAAAAACTATAAGAATTAGGGAGATAATAAAGCAAAATGGTTTATATAGCTAAATTAAATTAGGGAATAATTTGAGTACTTTAAACTGCAAGCTAGATAATCATCAGAAAAAGAAAAAAAAAATTTCAGAATTCTGGAAAATCTACAAGAACCCAAAAAATTAAAATTATGCAATCAGATTTGAGTAGCTTAATATAATAAGATAAATATAACATAGATTTACATTAATATTGAAAATTTTTAGTTAGGATTCAGATTCTTATGCACATCAAAATCATCCAAATATTATAGCAATATTATAGCAATAAATAAAATAATGCAATAAGATTTGAGTAGTTTAATTTAATAAGATAAATATAACATAGATTTACATTAATATTGAAAATTTTTAGTTAGGATTCAGATTCTTATGCACATCAAAATCATCCAAATATTATAGCAATATTATAGCAATAAATAAAATAATGCAATAAGATTTGAGTAGTTTAATTTAATAAGATAAATATAACATAGATTTACATTAATATTGAAAATTTTTAGTTAGGATTCAGATTCTTATGCACATCAAAATCATCCAAATATTATAGCAATATTAAAGCAATATTATAGCAATATTTGGATGATTTTGATGTGTATAAGAATATGAATCCTAACTAAAAAAATTCAATATTAATGTAAATCTATGTTATATTTATCTTATTAAATTAAACTACTCAAATCTTATTGCATTATTTTATTTTATAAAAATGATGTGAAAATATAAATTATGTGAAAACAAATAAAAAATATTAAAAGGCTAACACAAGGAGTAGTTTCCAGCATAGATGAATGAAGAAAAACTTTTAATAGATAATGATTATTTTAAATTTAAAGATAAGTTGACAGATAGAAAAGTAAAAAAAAAAAAAAAAAAAAAAAATTAACAAATATAAAAACATTTGATTCACCTCACTTAGTCCACTTATATAATAGAAAAATCATCCTTTTTTAGCTTTTCAAAAGTTTTTAAAAAAAATTATTTTATTTGTTTCATTTTTTAGATTATTTTTCTAGTCTATCTTTTAAAAATGCATTAGCATTTGAAAAAAAAAAACTATAAAAGAACTTTTATATAGTTAGATAGTTTTAAATATATTTCGAGTTTATTTTCAATAAAATTTCAAAACATACATTAAAATATAAAAATTAAATACAAAATTTCCAAAAGTATTTTTCAAAATTCTTTTATTATTTTCTTCAAAAAACCATATAGAAATTCATGAACTCTGTGCATATGAACCATGAATTAAAATTAAGATTTTTTTTTTCTTTTTATATTTTAAGCCAACATATAAATAAATAAGTTAAGCTACTTTGCAAAATGTAGAGACTGAAAGTAATGGAAATTATGGAGAGTAAAGTGAATTTATAATGTGATTGAAACACTCAAATAAGAGAAAAAAAATATACTGGTCTCATTAATTATTAAATCAGTTGAAAATATTTGTTTTTATTTAATACCAAAATAACAATTGTCAATGTATGCAAAATTTGTTTTTATTTTAAATATATACAAATTAGTAAAACTAAATAGAGCAATTGAAATATGAATATTCTTTGAATTCATAAATACCTATGTGTTTGTGAACTCAGGATATTAAACCTGAACTACAAAAACCACGATATTTTACATTCATATTCATACACAATATAACAAACTTTCAAAGCAAAATAAACAAACTAATAAAAAATAATGCAAAATAAGCAAAATAAACAAACTAATAAATATAAAAATAATCACTATTAATTTTTATATTTTATTTATGGCATTTATTTAAAGCTGAAGTCTNCTTCAAAATAAATAACACATTAACCATTCTCAAAAGTAAGCAAAACAAATTTATGTCTTAATGACAAACAATTTTATAAAACTTAGATTAAAAAATAAATAAAAATAAATAAATTGAATTTAAAATAAATTCATAAATCAACATGATTATTTTTCAGTTTTGGGTGTTTTTGCAAAATTATAAACAACCTGTATATTTTGCATATTGGTAGTTAAGAGAAATAATGTTTATTATAAGAATAGTTCAGATTTATTATTTAAAACACTTAACATTTACAGATAATAAATGATACTGATTAATTATCTAAAAATTCAATTTTTACTTTCTTCTAAAAGTTAAGTAGAATCTTTCAATTTAAAGAAACGATATAAAAACTTACTTCACGCAAATAGCTAGATTCAGGAGGTTCCCAATTTATGTGCTTAATTTTAGATACCCACAGTTTTCTTCGTTCAGGATCCTTGGGTACACCCTTGTTCAGAACTATTACGGCAGTCATATGCAGAACATCCAGGCATTTTGCTAATAGAAGAATAAATAAATAATTAAATAAATCGATACATTTAAAGTTCATACTAAGAAAATACATTTTTTATAAACAAAAATATATAACTTTAATATATTATTTCATATAAAATGAATATAAAATAATATATTGAAGTTATTTCAATCCTAAATGAATATAATTGATTATTTAACTCTATCCATTTGCCTAAAAGTAAATACTAAAGTATCAATAATATAAACTTTAAGATTGGAAAGCACATAATATTACAGATTTTTTAAGAATCATTGTAAGAAAAATTATCATCTCACATTGTTAAAAAATTAAATTCAATGAAAAAAAAAAGACTGGTGAAAAGACTTCAGCTTTAAATAAATGCCATAAATAAAATATAAAAATTAATAATGATTATGTTATTCATTTCAGAAATAATAATTAACAAAACAAATTACATATTTTATTATTATTTATTACTTTTTCAGGAAAAAATTATCGCATATTCACCTAAAAAGGTATTACTTATTTCAACAAATTGTAAACAAAAATTTCGATAATTAGTTTAAATTTAAAACAAACTAGAATTTTTTCAAGTTGGTAACAAAAAGTAAACAAATGCTACTTGGCGAACATTGTAACGCTCCAACATTTCAAAGTAATAGCACCAAACTCTGCACATTTGAAGTTTTGATAAAAAGATGCTCAAATCTTAAAATTTATAAGTAATTTAGATAGAAATTATGTTTGTTAAAAGTAAATACATTTATTCTTATGAAATCATTAGTTATTTCATCACCTTGTTCTCTTTACAATGAGATAAAAAAAACTTTATATGCTCGCAAGTAAGTAATAATAAGGATAAATTCAAATAACTAATAACTATCCAAATTTTCAGGCATAATTTTTACATTTACTGTAACTGTGAAGATTCTTATTGAAAAAAAGTAAGTAATGAACTTATTACATGCCTTTATTAATGCAGAACATAAATTTTTTGAGGCAGATAGTTTTCACTCAGTGTTATTCCAATGAAGAATTTCCACTCTCGCCTCCGGCAGTAAAGTTTTTCTTCCACCAATCAGGAATCGTTTCTCCCTTGTCCACACTCTTTTACTCTAGGCACTCTACCTAACACCAATGAAGGCACCAACCACTTAGTCTTGGTTTGAGCTTCTTTTTTCTCATAAAGAATAATTTTTGATAGATTATAGAAGCGGAAGGAATTAGATGGTAGCAGCCCTCTCTTGCAAGTTTGTCGGCCATTTCATTACCACCACATGAAAGAATTTACTAAAAATATATATCAAACTAAGAAATGATCTGTTATTTCTGCAGCATAGTGAGGCTGACTCTATCTCCTACAAGGATCCAATTACTAAGGTTTTGTAGAGAGCTACTGCAGTCTACTAATATTCATAGTTTATCCAAATTCCTTCCAGTGAGTGATGTCTTAAGCCCTTTATTAATTGCAAGAAGTTCGCTTTTGAAAACAGAATAGTGATCTGCAATATATAGACAGAGTAAATTTTCTCCATGTTTCTATAAAGATGCCTTTGAATGCAAGTTCAGTGATTTTACTGCCATTAGTAAAAATCCTACATTTTTGGGAATAGTGTTGATTACTTCCAAGGCCAACTGTCTAAGATGATCTTCAATTAAATCTTATTTGTTAATAGTAGTGAAAAAGTTTAATCGAAAGTGGACTAGAAAGTCATTCTGAAGAGTTTAAGCAATATTGTAGTGAGTGAGATTCCATACTGCAACTGAACTCTGAGATTCAATTAAACTTAAAGGTCTTTAGCTTTGCCGGTTTCTCCGATTAAGTATTATTTTGTTCACAATAACTAGAAATTTTATTAAAATAATAAACGAATTCTGCTATTCTTTCTATTCTAGAGGTTGAAAGAAGTTTTTAACTATCTATACTATCTTACCATAAAGAAATATTTTGGCTTTAGAACAGAAAAATAACTAAAAAAATGTAAAATTTGTTATAGGCCGATTTGGCGAGATTTTTCCACTTTGTTTAAAATATTTTGTTAAAATATTTATGAACATAGATAATGCACAACTTTATGAATATAGATACGTAACAACTTTTCATCACATAACCAATTTGAAATCATTTAATTTAGCTCAAATTATTTCATTATTTCGAGATGTTGCAGCAATTAATGAAACATATTTCTAAAGTTTTAGATGAAAACAGCTTAAAAACTTTTTTCAAATAAAATATATTTAGCTGTACAGGAATCATAATCATTGCCAATGCATCTCAAGTCCAGGAAAAAGAAGATGAATCATGAAACTAAAAGAATGTTGAGGCCCCAACATATTCCATACAAATTGTCTTCAAAATAAATACCCCCTTGTCTGCTCTGAGCACTATGTGTGGGAAAATTCAATAGTTTTAAAACATTGTGCTTTTCTCATTCAAGCACGACCCAAACGTTTCAAAAAATTTGCTCTAATCAATTAAGTTATTTCCTAGGGCAGGGATGGCGAACCAGTGGCACCCAACACAATATTTTGGGCACGCCACCGATCATATTTGTTATTACACTATGAATTGTTATTACTCAAATGCTATTACACTATGAAGCATATGTAACAATTAAATTAAAATTCACAAAAANTTCCGGACAAGTTGCTTTCTGTAAAAAACCTTAAATGATCGAATAATGCCGAGATCACAAGGCTGTAATTTGCTTGTACAGTTTGCAGGAAAAAACTCAACACGCACATTAGATAGCTGCAAATCCGGATGTGCACTGCATTGATCGATGAACAAAATTATTTTGCGGTTCTGAAATTTCATCTTTTTATTCAGTTTCTGCAAAAAGTCTTCGAAAAGGGCTTTTGTTATCCACGTTTTTTTGTTTGCTTCATAATTTGTTGGGAAACTTCTCACGTTTTTAAAGCATCGTGGTTTGCGTGATTTTCCAACAACGAGTGGAGTCACCTTCTTACTTCCATCAGAATTACAGCATAGTAAAACCGTAAGACGCAACTTTGACATCTTCCCTCCGTGGCAGGAATCTCCCTTAGAAACGTAACTTTTATCCGGCAGAAGGTTAAAGAAAAGTCCGGTCTCGTCTGCATTGAATCCTTCCTTTGGCTTGTATCCTTTGGTCAAATTTGGTAAATTTTTCTTCCATTCTTCTATTGTAGCTTCATCCACGCTTGATGATTCTCCGGAGAGCGATCTATACACAAGATTATGTCTTTTTTTCATCCAGTCAATCCAGCCATTGGAAGCTGTAAAGTCTTTTAAACCAAGTCTATTGGCGATTTCTAGAGCTTTTTCTCTTAATATGGTGCCATTTACAGGTACATTAGCGTCACGAGCCTCTTTAAACCATTTTACTAAAATCCCTTCCATCTCGTCGTACGGGGTTTTTTTTCATTGTTCTCCGTTTCTTGGCATTTTTTTCACCGACTTTTTCAAAGTTTTTATCAATGCATTCTTTTTTCTGTAGTATGGATTGCAGGGTTGTTACGGGAATTCCTTGCAATAGAGCGAATGCTACTTTTGTTCCATGAAATTCATTAAACTGCTTAACAATTTCGGCTTTCTCAGCAACAGAAAAGTTTTTGCATTTTTTGCTCACCATTTTCGTACGAAAGGGTTTGAAATGCGACCACCTTGTGCTAAACAACAACAGAGTCTGAAAAGTTGTAGAAACATAAAGATCCCCTTTGCTTTCCAAGGAAGAAAATAAGTCACTACATCTTATTGGTAACTGGAGTTTCTCTTCTCCTATCTGTCTCATTCCTGCACCAATGAAATGTGTTGTTTCTGTACTTTGTTTCTTCGCCCGCTGCCTTGTCCGAGACAGGCAGCAGGTGTTCAATAAAGGAAGGGGGAGAGAGGACTAAAGTTCTAGAAAACAGTAGTCTGTGGAATACGTTTCTGCTTTCATAGATTCACTTTCAACAACGTGGATGAGCTTTAAAAAAGCAAACATAGAAAAAATATTGCTTATTAAAACATTTATTTTTTTTCTTTCTACAAAAAACGTAAAATGTCTTACAATCCGGGTAAAATTAACATTGGAGGCATACGGAAAAACTGGGTCCTCATGAAAAAAGCGTAAAATGCGGGAAAAACGTAAATTCGGGGGACGTAAAATCGAGGTTTCACTGTATAAGCTTATAAAGTATCTGGCTCTCCCTTACAAACAAATAAAATAAACTGTGTTTTTAAGTTCCACCTTTGAAAATTTGATTTCCGGAAACTTCTGTGATCAATGATTTTTTGAAACGTCTGGACCTTTGATCTCCTGATCACTATTAGCGAAAAATCCGGGAATCAGGATTTTTTCCGCAGCACAATCAACCCTGGACTTATGCAGCTCGGTTTTCAGTTCATTTACAGTGTCATTCGATGAAACAACAATTTCTGTAAAAATTTGAGGAAGAGGTCTCACAATAGGAAGCTTCCTTTTCACATGCAGAGGAAAATAACTGAAAAGTGTCGAAACAGCATTCCTTTTTAGCTTTCTTTCGCCATTTTTTGTTTCCACCGGTTATCATCAAAATGAATCTAAAATACAAAAAATACTTTTTTAGCATTTTACACCTAAAATGAAAAAGAACACTTGTGGTAGGAGTGTTATTGGTAAATTGGCATTTACCTATTAACTTCAAAGTCTTATTATAATTCTCTTTAATTTTATAGTGTATAATCATAATTCATCTAAAATATAGTTCTGGTATAAATATAAATATTTCAGATCTTTACATATTTACCATATATTATACAACACAACAGAAAATATTCAAAAACTATAAAAATTAGGGAGATAATAAAGCAAAATGGTTTATATAGCTAAATTAAATTAGGGAATAATTTGAGTACTTTAAACTGCAAGCTAGATAAAGAAAAAGAAAAAAAAATCAGAAAAAGAGAAGAAAAAATTCAGAATTCTGGAAAATCTACAAGAACCCAAAAAATAAAATAATGCAATCAGATTTGAGTAGCTTAATATAATAAGATAAATATAACATAGATTTACATTAATATTGAAAATTTTTAGTTAGGATTCATATTCTTATGCACATCAAAATCATCCAAATATTATAGCAATATTTGGATGATTTTGATGTGTATAAGAATATGAATCCTAACTAAAAATTTTCAATATTAATGTAAATGTATGTTATATTTATCTTATTAAATTAAGCTACTCAAATCTTATTGCATTATTTTATTTTATAAAAATGATGTAAAAATATAAATTATGTGAAAACAAGTAAAAAATATTAAAAAGCTAACACAAGGAGTAGTTTCAGTTTCCAGCATAGATGAATGAAGAAAAACTTTTAATAGATAATGATTATTTTAAATTTAAAGATAAGTTGACAGATAGAAAAGTAAAAAAAAAAAATTTTAAAAAATTAACAAATATAAAAACATTTGATTCACTTCACTTTGTCCACTTATATAATAGAAAAATCATCCTTTTTCAGCTTTTCAAAAGTTTTTAAAAAAATTTATTTTATTTGTTTCATTTCTCAGATTATTTTTCTAGTCTATCTTTTAAAAATGCATTAGCATTTGAAAAATATAAAAAAAAATATAAAAGAACTTTTATATAGTTAGATAGTTTTAAATATATTTCAAGTTTATTTTCAATAAAATTTCAAAACGTACATTTAAAATATAAAAATTAAATACAAAATTTCCTAAAGTATTTTTCAAAATTCTTTTATTATTTTCTTCAAAAAACCATATAGAAATTCATGAACTCCGTGCATATGAACCATGAAATAAAATTAAGATTTTTTTTTTCTTTTTATATTTTAAGCCAACATATAAATAAATAAGTTAAGCTACTTTGCAAAATGTAGAGACTGAAAGTAATGGAAATTATGGAGAGTAAAGTGAATTTATAATGTGATTGAAACACTCAAATAAGAGAAACAAAATACAGTGAATTCGCGATAACTCGAATCTGATAGTAGTGACGAAAAACTTCGACATATCGGAAGTTCGACTTACCGTTAGTTTCGGTTTTGGACTTTCAAAATATTGTCGGATTATTTAATTAATGCTTATTAATTACAAATCTTCTAAATGCTTACAATATTTAAGATCATTTTTCTGACAAGCCATTTACGATAAGACTGTTTGAAGCACTTTATGATACCCTGGTCCATCGGCTGCAACTTTGCTGTTGTGTTTGGCGGGAGAAACTGCAAGTTTACTGCT